AGGTTTGAGAAACGAAGGTTTTCTTATGCGAATGAGAAGAGAGAATAGATGTCCGAAGAAGAGAAAGAGAGATGTGTGTATGAGAGGACGTGGTAGGAGAAGATGGGGTGGAACGTTTAGATTGTCTGGTGCGACAGGTAGAGTGAGAAGAGGGAAGGATAGGCAAAGGTAGAGTGCAGATAATTGAGTATCTGGATTTAGACTGGAAAAGGAATTTGACTGGGGGAGAGAGGGAGTAGAGGTAGGATGGTTTAGGGAAGGGGGGGATGAGATGCAGAGACATCTTGAGAAGAAGGAAGGGAAGTGAAGCAAAGGACAGTCTTGGAATAGGTAGAAAGAGAAAAACCTCGTCGGCGTGCTTCCAGCCAGGACTCACTTAGAGAGAGGCCTAGTTTGAATCTGATAACTGTTACCTCAGATTCGAGCTCCTATAAATTACATCATGGGATCCGCAACAATTGGCATACGTGCGGTTCTTCAGTTCATTATTCTAACATCTGTTTTGTCTTTACATTTTATGCTTTCTCGAATGATGGGAGTAATTAATATGTCAGAAATAAATATTGCATTGTATGATTAAATAACAGCACAAATAACACCTATTCAAGTAATGGTGCTATTGTGAGGTATGTGAAAAATAAAAATAAAGGTAATAACTGTAAATGTAAAAATAAGGATATCACACTTTATAAACTGTCTGCTTTTTTGGGGAGAAGGGAAACGTTTGCTTCACATTTAAATGAATTGGTAAACCGACATGTCTTAATTACCTCATGTTCCTTCCTAATACCATATTTCTATCTTAACTCAGGTTAAGTAATTACTCATGAAGAAAACAGGATTTTATTTTTAAAAATTGTAAAATATCAATTGGACAGTTCTATGTGTTGACTTAACATGCTAGCTTGCAAGAAGCTACAGATTTTGGTTGTTACATTCATTTACACTTTTTTCTGCGAAACCACAATCCCCTTTTCTTCAAGTGTGAAACAGCACAAAATAAATTTACCACTATAAATGGAAATCACATATTTATATTTTTCCCCCAGGAATTCATCATACTCTAAAAAAAAATCTGTCACTCATCTTCATCGGCTTGCAACTCCCTTACCCTTTTCCTGACAGTGCTCATGAGGCCCTTCATTTTCTCCCAGGTTCCGAGAGCGTCAGGCAAGTTGTCAAAGTTTATGTGATCACTGACATCAACTTTCCATAAATCTGCAGTTGGAAGCGTTTTGAAGGGCGTACAAGAATCAGGAATGGCAGCACCTAGTTTAAAGCCCTTTGAATGTGACCGGTGATGCTGTTTCAATTTCTTGCTGGCGCTCTCCAACGTGTCGCTGCTCACGGAATTCTCAGACTCGCTCGGGTCACTGGACACCTTATTGGGTGTCCTACTTTCCTCGGAAGTTTCAGCCACTTCAATCCTGACGTGTTTTTTGCTGCTGCTGTCTTTCGCTGGTGTGCGACGGTCTTCCTTCTTCGTTTTTTGTTCGTCTGTCGCACCTTGTGATGCAGCATCCTCAAGTTCTCTTAGGATCTTGAGTCTCTTCTCCTCCAGATCACCCAAGGAAGCTTGTGAATCTTCACTAATTTCACCTTCTTCCATATCCTGAAATAATACACAGTGAACATATTTATCACAGGCGTAGTCTAAAAAGTTTAAGCATTTATCGCATACCTTTTCTCTTTCAAAGGCTTCCTTCAAGACATCACCCTCAAAGTATGCAAATCTAAATTTCAAAAGTTTCCAACGTGCAGTTGACGAATAACTTTGGGTTTTAGTTTACCTCTCATGGAAGTCATTTAGAAATAACTAACACCAAAGGAACTGAGAATTTTTACCTTTTCCTCTGGAGGCGGAGGAGGAGGAGGTTCAGGAAGGTCATCTGGAGGTGGTGGTGGCAGAGGCTCACTGGGAAGTGGGGGGTTGAACTCTATGTGTGCGGACCTATTCAACTCCGAGTCTGTTGAGAGAATATTTGAAAAACATTTTATTAACATGAATAAACCAACAAACCCATGTTTAAAACCCAGTGTACATTTCATCCTAACTCTGGAAGCATCAGTTAATATAATTCTTACCATCCACTTCCATTTCTGCTGCAAGTGCAACATCAGCCTCATTTGTATTACCACCTTTTAAGCTGCTAGATTTGAGTTTCTTCTTCTTGTAAGCCTGGGCTCTATTCATGTTCATGTACTTCAGAAACTCTGGGCGCTGGTGATAAGGCTGCATGGGTGGGCAGTTGTAGAGGTGTCCCTCCTGCAACAAGGGAGTCATGGGTTTAGACATATTAAGTTATCAAGATTTGGAAATTTACTCATGTCATCATTTTCATATAGATCACTTTGATGTAGACTGAGTTGCTAAGACTATTTAGTGTAACAAAAAAAAAAAAAAAGCTTACAAACCTCTCTGGTTCTATGAGGCATAGGATCATTAAAGCCTGGAAAGCTAACTAGTTTCTCTGGTTTGTATTTGACAAGAACTGGGTCTGTCTCTCCATCTTCTAAGTCTGGGTGTGTTACAGCTGCCAAAGAAATTGTACAGAATCCATTAAAATTAGGATCAGGGTGATTTTCTTTACAGTTCTGAATTATAATCATAACCTTTATAATCATAACATAACATCTACATGACCATCTGTATTAATATATTGTAAATGTGTCAGTGCTATATACTGCATAAAATATATACTCCATAAAAAGAAAAAAAAAATCACTGAAGACTTTTCTTTTTTTAAATGTGATCACTAAAACAAAATACAATCTCCTTCACCGCAACGAACACTCCTGAAGATTATACACACTCATTTCCAAGCACAAGCCAAATCCAAGGAATCTACTCACACTTCCCTGAGGCATCATATAACTTCATGTCTGCCTGATGGACCTCGGCATCCCTTAGCCAGCCTGGGGGATAGCCGAGCACCCGCATGCGGTATATAAAAATGGGGAGCTGGTTTGGCCGCAGCCCCAAGGCATATCGAAGGTTTTCACTAAACTTTCCTGGCTGGAAGTGTCCGTACTTATTTTCCCCATCTTCATGATACCTCCTGTGGGAAAACGTAAGAGGATTAAAAGAAGAGGAAGAAGAAATTCAAAAACCAATATGAAGAGATGGACAAGATGAAAAATCATTACAAATATGGAGACACTTATGTACCACTACACTACACTAATTTAAATTTGAAAAAGATATTATGAAAGGGTGAAAAAAAACTAATATAATAAATACATATATAAAAAAAGAATTGATGAATTAAAGTGCATTAACCCCTTAACGCCGGGTGACGCCAATAGGCGTGAAAACAAACCGCTCAAAAGCTGGCGTGCTGCTGTACACTGCAGCGGCGTGCAAAAGCGTGGTGAGCCAGTGATTCAGGCTGATGTACCCTACTCACGCGCTACCTTTGTCTGCCAGAGCGTAGAGTTTTTTTTTTTTTTTTCTTCACCCGGCACCATTGGGTTAATGAGATAAAGGTACTAACAAACTTCTCTAGAAATCTAACCTAAATCTAAATATGCCAAAAATAATAACAATAGGGACTTCTTAGCAACTACACCTATAACATACACACATGCACACATTCCCTTCTCAAACTACAAAGAGCTAACACCAATTCCTCTTACACATTTGGCACTCTCGTGACGTTGTGCTTCTTTCTGTTGGCAGCGATCCTCTGCATATCTTGGGGCTTCGGACAATCACTGACATTGTGGTCTCCCAGGCAATTGAAACAGCACATCTTAGGCAAAGCGTCATTGATTTTCTTCCCGGTTTCCATGTTATATTCAACGTCTGTGAGGATTCCAGTAAAACTCTGTAAGAAGAAGGATGTTTGTATATACATCTTGTTCTGCACATATTGGTCTAAACATAATAAAAAAAACAGATCAATAAATAAAGTAAAAAAAAAATTAATTAATATTTTTTTTTTCTTTTTTTGGTTTATTATAAAACAGGTATATCTTTTTCGTTCTTTCTTTGGACAGGAATTCTGTACAAACAGATATGAAAACCGAAAAGCCTTCCGCAAAACTCACAGCATCATAAGAAGGAACAATATCTAGCCTGGACACAGGTCCTACTGAGCACTCGTCTTCCTCACCCTCAATGTCAAGACTTATACCTTCTGGCATATTAACCTCTGCAATTAAAATAGAAATTGAAAGTGTGGGGAATGAGAAAGAGCAGAGAAAGATAGAGAGATAGAGAGAAATACATACAAAAAATGTTGTACAGATAAACAATCACTCATATCTCATCTCCCTTTAGGAATAATTTTCTGCAAGTAACCTACCATTTATCATTTTCTCTATAGTTTTATATCCATTAGAAAGAAAATCTACACCCCTCAGTTAAATTCAAGTAACATGAAAATAAAATCACAATATTAATAAATCCTATATCACTAGCTTATTCACATAGATTTTTTTTCCTCAAAAAGCCTGAAAGACTTACCTTCCTCTTTAATGTCTTCCATAATGTCATCTGCGGTTGCGTCAATAGTAAACATGCCATTTGGTGACATCGCAACATCATTATTGGTGTCCTGCAAGTCCCCTTTTCTGCTTGAGGAATCTACTGAATAAACAAGAGTGTTAAGCAATGAGGCTGTTTACCCACTGTACAGTCATTTCCATTCATAGATCTATAAACAAAGGATATGCACAAGATATATATTAAATAGTATTTCTAAAAATCCTAAATAATAACAGCACATGTTTGCTTGTTTAACCCACTGCCGCCGGGGAAAATGAACAAAAAATGGGGAAAATACTGTACTCATTTTTTATATTTTTGTGAAATATCTCTGTACATAGATGGCTCTGCTAGTCCTGATTTTACCTATCCTTGAATTGGCGGGAAAAAACGAATTCTTACTAGTGTTATAAATATAGATGGTGTTACTTTTAACAGCAAATTAGGATAATGTTAAATATTTTCGTAAATTGATGAAAAGGGTGAACGGGTGAGACAGGCAGTTCTCGTAATTGGCTCATTGGTGACTTAGTACAAGTGTAGCCATCTATGTGTTAAAACAATCAAACAAGTCGACTCACAGTGGGCAGGGCATGTATGTATATGCCATCCCCGGCAGCAATGGGTTAAAAGAAAATCAAGTCACTGTAAATAAAAAAAAATACTGTCTTGTGTGATCACTTAGAGCAGAAAGTCCACAGCTGTGCTCTATCTAAAAATGTTATAGAGGTATGCAGTGATGCATCTGATTGTGATTTATATATTTTTATACTTGATGATTAATGGTGTGATTAATGGTGAGATCAAAACTTATATAATAATTGCCATTAAGAAAAGCAAGACATGAAAACTTGAAAGACCCACCTTGTGTTACCCCTTGAATTTCCTCAACACTACTGTCAACAGTTGAGTCCAGTGTAAACATGCTACTTGAGGATGCACTAACACCTTTGCCTGTGTTCTGCATGTCCTCTTTCATGCCCGAGGAATCTGCTGAAGTAAAATAATAGGTTGTCAGTGTCATGAACATTTCAAAGTTAAGTAACTTGGTTAACTATTGATGTCATTTCTTACGCAAGGAAAAATTGGTCACAGTCAGAATTTCTGCCATTCATGAACACATTCGTTTGCATGTAGTACATATAAGGATTCAGCTGAAACTTACCTAAATCTAATGGCTCACACTACATTCATGAATATAAACATAAACAATTTTTTTGGTTTATTATAAAACAGGTATATCTTTTTCGTTCTTTCTTTGGACAGGAATTCTGTACAAACAGATATGAAAACCGAAAAGCCTTCCGCAAAACTCACAGCATCATAAGAAGGAACAATATCTAGCCTGGACACAGGTCCTACTGAGCACTCGTCTTCCTCACCCTCAATGTCAAGACTTATACCTTCTGGCATATTAACCTCTGCAATTAAAATAGAAATTGAAAGTGTGGGGAATGAGAAAGAGCAGAGAAAGATAGAGAGATAGAGAGAAATACATACAAAAAATGTTGTACAGATAAACAATCACTCATATCTCATCTCCCTTTAGGAATAATTTTCTGCAAGTAACCTACCATTTATCATTTTCTCAATAGTTTTATATCCATTAGCAAGAAAATCTACACCCCTCAGTTAAATTCAAGGGACATGAAAATAAAATCACAATATTAATAAATCCTATATCACAAGCTTATTCACATAGATTTTTTTTCGAAACTACCTATGGCTCCCATACATCATACTATAACATAACATATAAGCACAAAAGCCTTTACAACTAACCTTGTGTAATCTCTTGGATGTCTTCCACACTACTATTTGCAGTTGTGTCAAGGGTGATGATGCTGTTTGAGGATGTGTCGCCTCTTGTGGGCGTGTCGTGCATGCTCTCATTTATACCAGAAGAACCTGCTAAAAAAAAAAAAAAAAATTGGAGTTTGAAAAGTGTAATAACTTCAACTATAATTTACAGTGTAACTATTCTGACAAGATGGTAAACTTCAATTATGCAGCGAGAACTAGTAATGCAACCCATTAGATTTCTGTACATATGACAAGTGTAGTAAAACATCCACCATACACATTATCCACCTTTGTATACTTAAACTTTGGGACATACTGATATGTCATTACTGAAAATCTGACTAAAAATATAACCCACTGGCCATAGATACATGTCCTCTCCTGTGTAGTTTTTTTGTGAATTTGCGTACAAATGGCTCCACAAGTGCTCAGATACTAAGAAGTTAATTAGTTGGCCACATACGACCTCACCTGATTTCTTCATTCCTTGAATTTCCAGAAAAAACGTCCTTCTAATACTATGAATACTGAGCACCATTATCTTTAGTGTCATTATCCTAATCAAAATGTTATCAAAATAAAAATAGCACTGAAAATATAGTACACCCTTTCTGAAAATCAAGGAAAGGGGAAAATAGGTGAGATAGGTAGGTATAGTAACTGACTCCTTCGTGACAAAGTACTTGTAGAGCCATCTCTTTGCAAACACAACTGATAAAACTAAAATAGCATGTAATTCATGCCATCCCAACATGAGTTACCAACCTACCTTGTGTGACAAACTGAACTTCCTCCATACTGCTATTAGCAGTTGAGTCAAGAGTGATCACACCACTCGCAGATGCAACAGCATCACTGTTTTTGTCCGGCACATCAGTTTCTATGCTTGAGGAATCTGCTAAATATATATCATCAGTCTGAGTGACATGTGTCTGTTAGTATTAAAGGAGTTCTCTCAATCACTGTCCACATTCTAAATATGAACAGATATTAAATTTTACCTATATTGCATAGCCAAAGATTTATATAATGGCATTAGGTAAAAATTGCTATCTTAGTAAACATTGACATAGGAATAAACAGAATATGCATTACTGAAAATCAGACAAAAACTTAGCTACCTACCTTGAGTGATTAATTGAACTTCTTCCATACTGCTATTAGCAGTTGAGTCAAGAGTGATCACACCACTCGCAGATGCAACAGCA